AAAAACCTACGAAAGAATGATTAATCGACGTCTCGTTCATTTCCTGGAGACCGAGAATGTGCTTGACAATAATCAATGTGGTTTTCGGGCTGGACGTTCCACCCTTGACCACTTAGTCCACCTTGAAACCTCTATTCGGTAGGCATCTGTACACCGCCAGTTCTGTCTCTCTGTGTTCTTTGATCTGCAAAAGGCGTCCGACACGACCTGGCGCTATGGGATCCTACGGGATCTCTATGCTTACGGTGTTCAGGGTCGCATGTTGCGATGTATACAAAACTTCTTAATGGGACGTACCTTCCAAGTGCGTCTGGGCTCCACCTTATCGGACGTGTTTTCTCAAGAATGTGGTGTCCCTCAGGGAGGGGTGCTGAGTGTCACACTTTTTGCTGTTAAAATCAATAGCCTGGCTAAGGTGATACCACCGACAGTATCTTATTCTCTCTATGTGGATGATGTGCAAATTTCAGTTTCTTCCAATCTGCGTAGTTGCGAACGTCAACTGCAAGTGACAATCAACAGGATGAGCAAGTGGGCAGCCGAAAATGGGTTTCGTTTTTCCCCTGACAAAACCGTATGTGTTCTTTTTTCACTGCGTCGAGGGTTATCACCAGATCCTACCTTGCATCTGAATAATCTTGCCATTACTGTAAAGGAGGCGCATAAGTTCCTAGGTGTGGTATTTGACAAAAAACTCACATTCATACCCCACTTGAAAGAACTAAAACAAAAATGCCTACGATCTTCCAATATTCTTAAAGTGCTGTCACACACAACTTGGGGCTCTGACAGACGATGTCTGCTGCGAATTTATAACTCTCTAGTGCGGTCCCGGTTGGATTACGGCGGACCGGTATATGCGTCGGCACGACCATCTGCTTTGAAGATGTTAGACCCAATCCATCACTTGGGGCTGCGTCTAGCCACAGGTGCTTTTCGCACGTCGCCCGTGCTGAGTCTGTATGCTGAAACGCATCAGATGTCGCTTGAGCGACGCAGACAATATCTTAGTCTCGGTTATGTCTACAAAGTTTATAGTGATCCGCACCACCCTTCGTTCTCCGCTCTGCAGATCTCTGCATCACTGCGCCTTTTTGAGAATAAGCCCAGTATTGTTCGGCCCTTGAGCTTTCGGGCTGAGAGCATAGCAAAGTCGCTGCACCTTTCTTTTGATGAGCCTCCTTTGTTGAGACAGGCCTATATGGTTGCTCCTTGGGACTTGGTGCCAATCTCTTGTGATTGGTCCCTTTCAAGGTACAGCAAAAAGGTTGTTCCTCCTTTCGTTCTTTTGCGGGAGTTCGCAGAGCTAGAGCAGAAATATAGTGACTATCTCCACTTTTACACTGATGGCTCGAAAACATTGACTTGCGTAGGCTGTGCAGTTTGTTCTCTCGCTTCCAGTAAAGTCAGGCAACTCAACCCTCTAGCAACTATTTTTACTGCTGAATTGTATGGTATCCTGATAGCTGTTGAATATATTCTAAAAAATAACATTAACAAAGCGGTTCTGTTTGTTGATTCCCAAAGTGTTCTCTTAGCTATTTCATCTTTAGCAGACAGTAAGAACGCCCTTGTGCAACAGGTTCGTTTTCAGATAAACAAAGCTTTCCATCTAGGACAACCTATAAAATTTTGCTGGGTGCCCAGTCATGTGGGCATTCCTGGTAACGAGAATGCAGACCACCTTGCACTTAGTGCAAAAAACTGCACGGAAACGTCTTTTGGCCTGCCACACCAAGACCTCAAGCCAGCCTTAAACAAGTCAATTATTAAGTTATGGCAGCTGGACTGGGACACACAGATCGATAACAAACTCCACATTATTAAGCCCAACTTAGAAGTATGGGAGAGTTCCTCCCATAAGGACCGCCGTTCGGAAGTCCTTTTGTGCCGCTTGAGAATCGGTCATTCTCGATTGACGCACCTGCACTTGCTCTGCGGTGAAGATGTAAAGCTCTGCGAAAAGTGTGGGAAAGTGTTAACCGTCCTCCACATCCTTTGGAATTGTAGATTTCTCGATCATCAACGTCAAAGATATTTTCCTGAACTTTTCAGAAACCACCTTCCATTTCATCCTTATTTTTTGCTTGGAGATAGACCTTTGGTACCATTTGCTTGCGTTTTAAGTTTCCTACATGCAATTGGCTTTTTGCATCTGATATAAGTAGACAAGTAAGTTTAGACATAACTGCATGCTAGGCTTTTTAAATTAACTTTCTTGGCGCAATATGGCCACAGTCGCTCTTGCGCCATTAAACACCAATCATCATCAACTACAGTGCAACGAGCATATCCATCGCCTAAGCACTGATTCTAATAGCTCTCCTTCGGGAACCGCAGCCTGCCACCGGTCCACCTCTTGTATGTCTTTCGGAAATGCATGCAGTATAATGTCTTCTTCAGTTGCTGAAATACGGGGACAGTCCCTTACACAGCACCTAGGCATTGTAGGTGGTCATGTCAATTCACTGACTCCCGTTTTTCCACCTTTGCAGCAATATTAAGCGATGAATTGCAAATAAAAGAAAAGCTTGGATCGCTCGTGAAGGTGCGGAGAATAACAAAAATATTTTAGAACAATATTACACGCGGTCGCGGCAAGCACGAGGAGTGATTCAACTTACGTGGCTTCCGGCGATGCCTTCCTTCTCACCGCCGCAACATCTTGCGGTACATGGTTACGTGACAGGACACTGGCGGCCACTTTGGATGGGGCTGCGTATTTCTATTTTTATATAAAAAAACTACGCAACTCTATAGTGAAACAATAGTTTGGTGATGTCCTGATACACCATCTTAACGCCTAGCATGAAAAAAAAATTGTATTGGCGTGTCAAAGGCTTTTTAATGACACTCGGTGCAAAGAGAAAACAGTAAAGATATATATATATATACGTATATTTGCTCATTACAGAAGCTGAAAAGGAAAACGGGCCACGTAGAATATACACAGGCATCGCATTACACCGCATGCTATTAAAGGCATGCACAATAACACCCCGGCGAAAGACAACAGTAGAAACAAACTAGACCATATATGCACATTTTGGCATATCTCACACTTTAAACATATAACATAAATAGCAGTCAATTACAAAAATACGACTTCCAAGATACCACATAAATAAAACTTTGCAGAGAAATTGTTGGTTCACAGATATATTTACATCCGCCTGCAACTTCTAGTACAAAATGAATCAAAGAACAAAGCGAAATAAAAGATCAAACCAAGCTGAGTAAAAAAATAAAAAAAAGGCATGGTTTGAGGATGCAGCACCACTGATGGGAAAACAGGACTCGCTTGGTGAAGTTATGACGCACATATTCCCCACGGGATATTTCCGTAATGGGGCGGGCCAGGTGTCGCAACCGCAGTGTGACACATTTCTTAATTAATGATTGCCATGACATGTGGCACTGCATGCATCGGCTAATCATTGACATGAGCCGGGTTAAAAAACTATCTGCATGTTTCTCGTAAAACGCTTTGTAGGCGAGAAAAGTCAACTCAGTTGCACTGATTTTTGCGGCTCCAATTTCAGTGGCCACCTTGTAGATTTTTTTCTGTTTTCTGCAGGATCTGGCAAACGAGGTTGAAGGGGTGCACAAGCCTGCCATTGTCCCTGATGATAAAGAGGACTCCTGTCGCGCTATCATCCAGGAGCATACTCACTCATGATGCGCAGCTCAGCGTCTTCGTGACTTGACGGCTGACGAAGCCCCCATGTACTTCACAACTTCAGAGCAGAACTCTGACAGGGTGTCCACGCCTAACTCTTAGACCACGGCTATATCGTCACCCTCTTGGTAATCCCCGGCATCAAGAGCAGGGTTGATTGTACCCTGGCTGACCGTCAGGCTCTCCCCTTCGAGGTCAGGTGCCACGTTGGCGGAACTGGGGGCTTCCACACCAGCGTGTACCAGTAGCTTCCTGTAGACCTGCCAGAACTGGGCAGCTGATGGGTTATTGTTCCAGTCGTCTCTTTGCCGCACGCAGCTGAAGAACATCCCCAGGTGGTGCTAGCTCGTCCGATAGGAGCACAGATAGCCAAGAAAGGGAGGCATGAGAGAAGACAATTTATTTAGTAACATAAATTTTGTGCTCAATAGTCTGTTGCAGGTTGAAGGGCAATTCGGCTTCATTTATGTTTTTGAAAAAAAAAAATGCAGTGTCTTCAGTGTCACCTAGAAAGACCGCACGTCCAATATTACGACGTAGTTTTGTATAAATGTTTCTTAAACGGTCCGGCAAACTTTAAACTCGCCATGTTACCGAAATCGACTGACACGAGCGGACGAATCGAGGCGCAACCAACAGCGCACTCAAGGCTACGGCGTGGGCGAAGCCAACATTGACAGGCACGTCATCACCATTGCCCCCTTTTGTTCGTTTTTGCCTCTCTGGCCAAGTGTAACAGGTGACGTCAGCAACGTTTCCTCTCGACGCTCAGCGGTGTCCACGTGGCGACGCGCAGCGCAGCGCACTTCTTAGGAGCCGTTCGGCCGCCCCGCCGTTACCGCCGTCGTATTCTCACCGTTTGTGATTATTGTATCTCTTAGTTTCGTCCACACTACAGACACTAGGTGCGCAGACTTATGCTGCAGTTGTGCAGACGTCGCCGAATGTCGTAGACATCAAAACTTGGTGAAGAGTGCGATGCAGATGACACTTGCGCCTGGTGGCACATGACCACCACAATCCCGCCCGTTGTTGCGTAGAGGATCACGTGACATGTCGGGCCACGTGTTAGCCATACTTTTGGCGGCCCGAGGCCGATGTTGCCAGACAGAGTAGAAGTTTCGGTTTCGATTTTTGCTCGTGTTTAAAATTAGATTTAAAAAGATACATCCCATTTTTTGTGCAGCAAATGGCGTAGTGTCTTTTACTGGGGCTTTTTAATGCGAAATCACTCCAGCTAAAGCTTCGCTTGGCAGAGGCTGCAATCCCAACATTATCCGCCGCCGCGGGTGACAACGGTACAGGTCCAGAGCCGTCGTTCATGATAAATCCGCATAAGCTATTCCCAGCATTTGACTACAAACGCGATGATTTGGACGCGTACCTCAAACGGTTCGAACACCTCGCCGTGGCGCACAGCTGGCCAAAGGAAAAATGGGCCACTGCTTTGAGTATGTGTCTAGGCGGAGAGGCACTGAACGTTTTCGGACGATTATCCCCGGCGGATTCAATGAAATATGATCAAGCCAAGCTCACGCTACTCCAAAGCTTTCGCTTCATAGCGGAAGGCTACCGTGAAAAATTTCGCGAGAGCAAACCTCTAGACGGTGAAACTGGAAAGCAGTACGCCGCGCGACTCTCCAGTTTTTTCGATCGCTGGATGGAAATGTCCGAAACGGCCGGAAAGTTTGAGAGTGTACGAGACATTGTTGTCGCAGAACAATTCCTCAACAACTGCCACAGCCAGTTGGCGTTGTTTGTGCGCGAGAGGAACTGCAAAACACTGAGTGTAATGGCCGAGGCGACAGACCATTATCTCGAAGCGCAGCGTCAGCGAAACTTGCTGTTGTTCAGGAAATTGCCGGAATCAGAGAAATCAAAGGGCGAGAGTGGAGAAGCCACCAAGAAGCCTCCAACCAGATGTCTCGTTTGTGACAAAAAGGGACACAAAGCATCTGACTGTCTCTCAAAGCCCACACAACTGTACTGCGTATACTGCCGTAGGCCAGGGCATGATTTGAAGACGTGTACGAAAAGTAACGATCCAAGGGAAGCTTCTTCGTGTGTATCTCCTAAGAACTTTCGCCATGAGACACAACAAGCCGGGAGACACAAACCTAAGGAAAAAAAGGCGGCCAAAGAGGTTGCAGATGTTGCCCGAAAGAGGACGATTGAAACATACGACATGCCTGTCGTGGAAGGTGAACTGTTAGGACAGGCTGTTTTGGTTTTAAGAGACACTGGCAGCAACACCCTGATTGTGCGCCGGTCGCTCGTTTCAGAAACAGCACTTACCGGGTCGAAAGCTACTTTGCTATCGGTAGACGGCACCCAACTGGAGGTTCCAGAAGCCAAATTCAACATCTCCTTCACTATATTTCAAGGGTACCGCGATCGTAAAATACCTAGAGGCACCGCTTTATGACGTCATAGTGGGAAATGTTCCCGGCTCGCACGATGCCACTTGTCCCGACCCATACTGGAGGGGATCGTCCCAACTTGCTGTAATTCCGACGTGTTACGACAAAGTCGGTAGTGAGACTGAAGGTCATGAACCAGCCTTAGTTTTGGCGGGAACAAGTTATGCTGCTCAACGTCGCAGGTGCTCCGTTGTGGACATCGGTTCTCTACAGATGACGAAGAAGACATTTCAAGAAGAACAAGGAAAAGATGCATCTTTGCAAGGTTGCTGGGCAAAAGTAGGAAAAGTATTTCCTGGCAAGGGGGACACCTCACACACGTTCACGGTGGACAAGAGGATCTCGTTCCGCTGTTATCAGCTGTCACGAGGCAAGATCTTGAAACAGGCGGTACTGCCTAAAGTTTTGCGGGCTCAGGCATTAAACATGGCCCACGAAAGTCCAACGGCAGGGCATCAAGGCATAAAGAAGACCACCGACCGCATCCTGGAAGCATTTTATTGTCCAGGTGTACAGAACGAGGTCCGAAGATTTTTCAAGTCATGCGATGTCTGCCAAAAGACCTTTCCTAAGGGTAAGGTGGGCAAGGTCCCGCTTGTTCGCATGCCATTGATCGACACACCGTTCGAGCGCGTCGCCGTAGACGTTCTCGGTCCGCTGTCGCCAACATCAGCTAAGGGGAACCGCTACATTCTCTCGTTGGTCGAATTTTCCACACGTTATCCAAACGCCGTAGCACTGCCGTCAATAGACTCAGCCACTGTGGCAGAGCGACTCGTGGAGATGTTCTCCCGGATAGAATTTCCTCGCGAAATTCTTTGTGATCGTGGCACTTGTTTCACCTCTGACCTGATGAGAGAGGTCAACGACCTTTTAGCAATCAAACATCTCAGCACAACTCCCTACTATCCGATGTGCAATGGGATGGTTGAGCGGTTCAACGGCACCCTAAAGCAAATGTAGCGGAAACTAAGTCATGAGCAGCCCAGGTCTTGGGATAGGTACCTCGTACCACTTTTGTTTGCGTATAGGGAGGTGCGACAATCTAGCCTCGGGTTTTCTCCATTCGAGCTCTTCTACGGACGTCACTTGCGAGGCTCGCTTACGGTTCTCAAGGAACTATGGACAGAGGATGAGAACAGTGACGAAGTTAAGACCACGTATGGTTACGTCCTGGATCTCAGGGAGCGACTTGAGAAAACTTTGGAACTAGCGCATCAAAATCTAGTTCCAGCACGAACGAACCAAAAAAGGCACTATGACAAGAATAGCAAACTCCGACAGCTTAGAGTTGGAGACCGGGCTCTAATTCTTCTCCCGACAAGCCACAACAAGCTTCTGATGCACTGGAAAGGACCTTTTCCTGTCACATGGAAAAAGAATGAGTTCGACTGCTGGGTCTACCTGGGGCATACTACGAAGCTCTTCCACATCAACATGTTAAAGCGATATGAAGAGTGCGAAGGGGGAACACCTCTTCAAGCTTCGTTTTTCATTGTTGTAGAGGAAGCGGACTCAGATGCTCAGCTGCCAACCTTCAACGCAGAAAAAAGTCACGGGTCTGAAGCTGGGATGGTATCCGACAACCTGAAGGAAGATCGACGGACTGAGGTGCGTAGACTTTTGAAGTCGTACGAGGACATCTTTTCCGAAGTCCCAGGAAAGACGAATCTCATAGAGTGTCGGCTGGACGTGACAACCTCGGAGGTGGTGAGCACACCACAATACCCTCTTTCCTTTGCGGTGAAGGACTTGGTGGAGAAAGAGGTGGACCAGATGTTGAAGATGGGAGTAATCGAACGCTCTCGCTCACCTTACAACTCGCCGCTGGTGCTGATGAAAAAAAAAAAGACAACACGTATCGAGTGTGTATTGATTTTCGCCGCGTCAATGACCTGATCTCAGATCCGGAGCCCACACCGAGGACCGACACACTGTTTGCAGAGGTTGGAACCAAAAACATCTTCTCAAAGTTTGACCTCGCCAAAGAATATTGGCAGGTGCCACTGGAGGAAGGGTCACGGCATAGAACGGCTTTCTCGACACAGTCTGGACACTAACATTTCATGTTCATGCCCTTCGGCATCAAGACGGCCTCTGCAATTTTTACCAGGCTTATGAGGACTCTTCTCCAAAGGATTGCAAATGTGGTACACTATCTAGACGATGTTCTCGTGGCCACAACCACGTGGGAGGAGCATGTTCAGACGCTGCGGCAGTTGTTTGAAAAAATCCGCGAGGCAGGTCTAACAATCAAGCCGCAGAAGTGTGAGGTTGGGGTGACCTCCATCACATTATTGGAGCGTCGCTTAGGAGATAGTCCAACCGATGGAAAGTGCAGTGACGGAGCTCGTGAACGCGCCAAAGCCGGAAACCAAGAAGCAAGTCCGGTCTTTCATGGGACTGGCGGGGTATTACCGTGATTTCGTCCCACACTACGCACAGAAAGCACAACCTCTGGTGGAGACGACTCGGAAAGCCGAGAAAAACAAGGTGACTTGTACACCGGAGAGAGAAGCCGCCTCAAGGAGCTCAAGACGGCACTGTCTTGTAGACAAGTTCTGAAGTCGCCGGATGTCAAAAGAGAGTTCGTGCTCCGGACAGACGCCTCTGATACCTGCATAGGAGCTGTCCTGCTACAGAAACACGGTGGACTTCTTCACCCAGTATCGTACGCTAGCAGGCAACTCTTGCCGCGCGAAACACGGTACTCCACTGTCGAACGCGAATGCTTAGCGGTAATATGGGGCATAGAAAAGTTCCACATCTTTCTGTATGGAACTTCCTTCGTGGTTCAAACAGACCACCAGCCTCTATTGTACCTAACTTAGGCCGAATATCTAAACGGTAGAGTTTTGCGGTGGAGTCTAGCCTTACAGGAACATTGCTTTCGAGTGGAGCACATCAAGGGCTCAGAAAATGCGGGGCAGATTATATGAGCCACTTTAATCGGCCTTCGTAAAGGAGTAATTTTGTTTGTGTGTGTTTTTATTGGTTTTTCTTTTGAGCCGACGGCTATTGATTTAATAGCGTGAATCTCGCGCAATTCGCTGAGTTTTTGTTTGAAAAAAAAATCCTTTGCGAAATGGGGCTTCTGTAACGTGCGCGGATTTCGACGGTGTGTATGTGCACGTGCCGGCTCATCTTCGTGCCGCGTCGTGCACGCGACAAACTGTGTGTGCGCGCTTGTCATCTTCGTGGCGCGTGCCACGCGCCCCGCAACAAGACAAAAAAAGAGAAGGAAGGGGAGAACAGAAAATGGAGTGGTGTTCGAGCGGACAGACCAGCGTGTAGAAGGGAACCGCCGGGCGTCCAGACCCGGGTTCTTCAAGGCTTCCACCTGGCCTGACCTCCGGCTCCCGCGAAGCCTTCACCCCAGTTGAAAGCAGGTGCACGTGTTGCGGAGCACACGCCAAGACCACAGCGGCCCCGTCTGTTCCAACACGCCACCCCAGACGCCGATGCCGTGCCAACGCCGCCTCCGACCCACCGGCTTCAAGCTGAACCCTGGGTTTTCCGGTACATGCTTTGTCGCCGCTCCATCGCACAACACCTCGCAAGACCGAACGCCACGAAACAAGAAAGCGATAAGTAGTTGCAGTGAACTTTCGAGCTGCCTTTAGCGAGCAGCATTGAAACAGTGTGCCGACATTGCGAGAACAATCTGTCGAACGTGCATTCTTGTAACTGTTTCCCCAAAGTCATACCATTTGTTGTTTTTCGTGTGTAAATTAATTAGTCTGTTTTCATCTTGGCATGTTTTTTTTTTTCTAATATAACGCTGTTTTCTACTTCAAACGGTCTCGTCTTTCTTAATTCACGTACCTGATACACACGATTCTTCACAAGTGTACCACTCTACTAAAACTGTCTAATAAACAGACACGTGCTACCTTCACGAAAGCGTACTTTCCACATTAATAATATTTTCATCCAAAACGTCACGCTTGCTCAAGCGGCGTTCGCGCGACATACAAAAGGGACAATAGCCCCATTGTGGCTTTGAACTACAACCTGGCATAATATCTGAACTCCACCTGCACGTAGCCACCTCGTACTTTCATTGAAACAAATCCTGAAACCTTAAGTGGAAAGATTAATTAAATTGTGAAACTTCTGATTGATATTTGAAAGGTAAATTTCTTCGCGGTTTCGAATATTGATTATTTCTGCTAGTTTGCGTTTCATCTTCCACACCTTTAGTGATTCGAAAGACTATGAAGTCTTAAATATTTGGTAAACATGTATTGAAAATTCGTTGTTTAGGAGGAGTGAACAAGTCCCACAGTACTCACATAACGGTTCTCAAGTTAGAACTCTTTTATAACAAATAAACAAAAATCATAAAAAATATTTTTTTTTTAGTTGCACAACGCGGATAAAGGGAATAATAATTGAAAGTGTAGTACATTGCTGTTCTTTTTTCCTGTGCCCTCCCAAATTATATGCACGATCGACACCACAGACTATTAAAAGTGCTAACGCTTTTTAGAGTAGCAATTAATAAAACGTTTCGAAGTGAACAAGCAGACGCACAGAGGTCTAAGCTAATGAACTGATCACTGTGTCTTTTTTTTCCCTTCTTTATTTGTTCTGCTCTTTCGTTCGTACTGCACCGTCGCCAACAAGCGCCGGTTGTATACTTTTCAGAGTTTCAAACATGAATATTTCTTCTGCGGCATTCATGGTCTCGTCAAATATATTCAATATTTCACGAGCTTTTGATATACATGCTCCAGGATGAGAGTCCCAGCAGTGTGAAGTATAATTGGTTTGCGTTTGATGTTTATTTTCAGAGCAAGGGACCCCTTGTTCAATGGAAAGGGCTTCCCATGTGGCAATGTTCATTGGAGCCTCGGCATAATCTGAACGCAGCTTGCCTTAGACAATTTGTCTGGCCCAGCAAACCAACCTGAAGTCGCCTTGATGAAGAACCCAACAATCTCCTCTACAGAATTGAAAGGAAGCTCGCAAGTGGAAGGTCAAACGAACTGCTACGCATTGATTTTGAGCTTGACATATTCCGATGGCACTTTCATGGGAAGGGACAAGACTAATCCGCGAAATGATTCCTCTGTGATGAAAGCGACTTCAGTCGCCTCAATTCGCCGGAAAACTGGCACACGCGTGACAATAAGTTGCAAGGTGCAGTTGCAATCCAGTTTCCGCTGCGGATTAAAGGTGTCCTTTGGCGCCAGGGGGCATCGAGTACATTTGTAAACGGCTTCCAACGAGAGGTTCTGCATATCCTCCTGGTTACCAAAGCGGTATCAGCACGGTAAAAATGGAAGCCAACCTCACCGACTCCGTTGAAGTGTCAATAAATGGTAATTCAGTGCACCTAACACTGCGTGATATGATGGTTAGGAGACTGTACCACGAAAAACACATCTCACAAAATTTCTACGTGCAAACAATTGGAAGGCACATGCTAGCGCTTGTGAATCGCATAAGTTCACATAAAATCCTCGAGGAAAGGCTGAGGTTACTATACTCTTCCGTTAAATCAAGCTACAGAAAACAACCGGGTCGAGCCAAAAACAAGTTCCTTGAGAAAGATCATCTGCTCAAGATCACCGTGGAGTCTGAGGCTTCAGCTATTGCTAACAGCTCCACCGAAAGTCTCACTGCTACTTCACACGCGCTAATCACTGCGCTACAGAGCCAACTTCATGATACCACCAGGGAGGAAAGAAAACTTGAAGGTACCGTTTCCGCATTTGCAGGAGAGGTAGGAAGCCTTAAAAGAAAGTGTAAAGCTCCGAAGAAGAGAAGAAGAGAATTTCTTTGTCGTACCTCCAGCATCAGGCATTCTTGAACGAAGCCAAAAAAAGTCTAAGAAGGTTGGAAAAAAGAAAAAAAAAGCATAAGAAAGTTGAATCGGGCAGCCGACGGAACTGAGGCCACATTAGGCATCTTACTGTCAAACTTCGGTCTTAATCTGGAAGAGGTGGTCGTAAAAG